GCAGGTCCTTCGTCTGTGGGGGGGAGGGGGCGGGGGGCCCATGTGACCGGCTCAGACCGGTTCTGGAGACAAAAGGGGCCGCGGCGGCCGGAGCGGGACGGGCCCGGCGCGGGAGGGAGCGAAGCAGCGCGGGCAGCGAGCGAGTGAGCGTGCGGGGCCCCGGAGGGCGCGCGGCGGCTTCGGCCCCTCGGCCGCTGCCGATCTGGGGGCTGGAGGCGGGGTGGGGGTCTGAGCTGAGTCCCGGGCTCCAGGCGGCCCCTGGGGAGACTCCTCCCGCTGTGCGCCCCGGCTGGCGGGGAGGGGCCAGCCCCCCAAGTCCGCCGCCACCGCAGTAGCAGCCAGACACTTTGGGCCTGGAAACTGGGGAAAGGGGGTGGGAGGTTCACGCCTGCGGCCCCCAGTGGGGACTCTGACCCGTGCTCTACCCCCAGGATGCAGCGCCGAGGCTTTCTCCTCCTCGCCCTCCTCGCCCTGCTGGCGCTCACCTCCGCGGTGGCCAAAAAGAAAGGTGATACGGAGGGTGGGGAGTTTAAGGAGGGCTGGAGCCGGGCAGGTGAGGCCGGCAGCCTCGGTTCCGAGGCCGGGACTCCGGGAAGGGGTCTCCGAGCGAGTCTCTCCTGGCCCGGGGTCCTGAGCTCTGTTACCCATGCGTTGTAGACAAAGTGAAGAAGGGAGGCCCGGGGAGCGAGTGCGCGGAGTGGATCTGGGGGCCCTGCACCCCCAGCAGCAAGGACTGCGGCGTGGGTTTCCGCGAGGGCACCTGCGGGGCCCAGACGCAACGCATCCGGTGCCGGGTGCCCTGTAACTGGAAGAAGGAGTTTGGAGGTGAGGTGGGGCGCAGGCGGAGGGTAGGCAGGGGGCCCAGCCTCACGGGGACCTGGGCAGACCCGTGCAGGGGGCCACAGGCCACCCATCTCTGACCCGGGCACTCTCCCGCCAGCCGACTGCAAGTACAAGTTTGAGAGCTGGGGGGCATGTGATGGGGGCACAGGCACCAAAGCCCGCCAAGGCACCCTGAAGAAGGCGCGGTACAATGCCCAGTGCCAGGAGACCATCCGTGTGACCAAGCCCTGCACCCCCAAGACCAAAGCCAAGGCCAAAGGTTAGCAGAGGGGGCAGGGGTGGGGTCATCATAGGTGGCTGCCCCTACCTGTGAAGGGAGTGGGTAAAGCCTGAAGTTTTGGATCCTGGCCAGTGAATTTTTGACGTGTCTGTACCGGGTTTCCCTGTAGGTAGAGACACCTTAGGTGGGCGGTACTGAGGGCCCCCCCGCAGAGGGTGCTCGGGAGGTTGAAATCCTGGCTCAAGTAAGGACAAAGTCAGCTGTTCTGTTGGAGCCTTTGGCTTGGGATGCAGAGAAATCGTATTGGAACAGCTTGGCTTTGTCATCTCTCCAGCAGGTGGGGGCAGTTTCTATTTGGGAAGGACTTCACAGTCCTTACTTCCTCTTTCCCTTAGCTTCATTCCTGACTCACAGCAGCTCTGGAGGCCAACAGGGCAGAGTGGAATCTGCCCACTTCTCAGGTGAGGGGACTGAGGCTGTTGTCCAGGGCTGCTGGGACCAGGACTGAGACCGGGAACTTGCAGGTTTTCTGATCCCCAAAGTCTAAGCTGGGGGGAGTGAGGAATGTCCAGCATCATAATGGCTGTCCTGTCCCACGGGCTTCCAGGCTAGCTGATAGAGAACCACCAGGGGGCGGAATTTTCTCTTCTCTAATGTCTGTGTTGGGGGGAAGGGGGTCTCCAGTGGGTCACCCAAACCCTGCTAATGCGGTCTTTCTTTCTTGTTTTACAGCCAAGAAAGGGAAGGGAAAGGACTAGCGGCCAGGCCTGGATGCCAAGGAGCCCCTGGCTTTACTCGGAGGCCTGGCCCACGCCCTCCCTCTACCGGCCCAGGATATAACCCACCAGTGCCTTTTGCCTACTCGTTAGCTTTATCAATCATGCTCTGCTTCTTCCCTTTCACTTGCCCACACCCACCCCAAGTGCCCAAAGTGGGGAGGGACAAGGGATTCTAGGCAGCTTGAGCCTCGCCCAAAGGGATCTGAGTCCCCTGTACCCACTTTTCTTCTTCCCCCAATGATGCCATTACTAAGAAATAAATAAATGTCTTTTTTTTTTCCCCCCAATAAAAGCTTTCTTTTAATATATAAAAGCCCCTTCCCAGGAAGTTTGCTGTGGTGATTTGTTGGAGGTGGGAGAATGGAGGAAAGAGAGGGCTGGAGGGAACGGTGGCTTTCAGGGGGTTGAAGACTTGGCGGTGAGTGCCCCCCAGAGCTCATGGAGAAAAAACGGTTATGAAGATTTCTTCCAGGGCCCCCTACTGACCCCTGGAAGGGTGCCCCCCATCAAGTCCCCTGAGCCTCTCAGTCCCGTTTCTCCAGGGGCCAGGGCTGGGGGAGGGAACCCAGGAGACTCACTAGAACTGATACCCCCCATCTCAGTTTCCCCCAGGTAAAGGTCTTTTGGTCCAGCCCACTGCCAATCCAGAAGGTTCTATCAGTTGGGGGAGGAGAGATGGGGGTCGCTTGCCTGCCTCACCAGCCCCGCCCCAACTGTCACTGAAGCCTGTGTGTGGGTCAAGTCCACCCCCGTTTTGTCCCTGGTGACCCACCAGGGCGTCCCTCGTGCTGCAGAGGCCAGCCGTGAATACCACTCACCACAGTCCCACCTTCACTGTGTGTGACCCGAGCCAAGCCCTCTCCTTGGGGAGGGAGGGCAACTCTTCAGCTCAGCCTGGGGAGGTGGGTGGCCAGGCCCCAGTTCCTGAGTGAACCCCTGATCTCCCCGCTAGCCCACCCTGAACGTGACCAGGGTAGTGCCGTAGCGGGTGCTCGGAGCCCCCTCTGCCTGGCCTCCAGCCAGCTCACCCACTGACCCGCCCACCCAACCAGAGCCCTGCTGAGTAGCTGCAGCAAGGGGAGACTTCTGCCCCTGGAGAGAGGTATAGGAGGAGGAGGCTGAGCCTACATGCGGGGTACAGGGGGGCAGAAAGCACCGATTACAGCAGGATGGGGGACCCTTCCCTCCCTGAGCCTCCTTTCCCAAGCATTGGCCCCTTTGCTCCTCCCAGAGGGGTGCTGGGCTCTGCTCCCCTCCAGATGTCCGTTCTTTCAGCCACGCTGGCTGGTCACAGTGGGGCAGGTGCCCACATAGGCCAGTGCTCCCCAGCTCCCTGAGGCAGGACAAGAGCGACGGGTCAGACTGTCCAGTTTGGTCACTTCCTGGGGCTGATCCTCCTCAGCCTGAGCAGAGACCTGGTCTCTGAATCCAGCCAGAGCCTCTCCCTGAGGCTCACGGGGTCTCGGGAACATCAGTTCTCTTCAGCAAACATGAACACTGAGAAGTGCCTCCACATCTCTCCCTGGCAGCAGCTGACACGGTCCCCAGCGCACACACCAGCACCTCCAGTGGTACCCCTACCTGCCTACCTGGCGGTGCCGATGTTCCGATACTGACAGAGCAGCAGATGCCTGAAGGTCTTTTTAAAGGTGGCATTGCAGAGGGCATAGCAGGCCGGGTTGATGGTGCTGTTGACGTAGCAGAGCCAGTAGCCAATGGACCACACGGTGTCAGGGATGCAGCTCTGGCAGAAGGTGTTCACCAGGACCATGACATTGTAGGGCGTCCAGGTGAGGATGAAGGCTAGCAGAATGGCAAAGATGGTCCGAGTCACCTTGCGCTCCCGGGCTGCCATCTGCCGCTTCTTGCGCACCTGGTTGCGGGCGATGCTGGCAAACTTACGGGCCACATTGGCCGCCGGACGCATGCCAGCCGGCGTGGCAGGCACAATCTCGATGGCTGTCACACACTCGTTACCTGTCTGCTTCGTCACAATCTGGATCTTGGACCATTTGGAGGCCGGATTGAGGGTCCGTGGCTGCAGGGGAGGTGCAGGTGTGGCGGGCGTGGTGGCCTCTGTGGTTGACAGCTCTGTGGGTGGTCGTTCCTTGGTGTTCTGGGTGGCGCTGCCCGAGCTGGACTCATTGGAGGTGTCCTTGTCAGCCACTGGGCGTGGCGGCGGGGGGAGGACCGGCGGAGGGGCCTCCTCTAGCTTCCCGTTGCGCAGCTCCCCCCGAGAAGCGTCTGCTGGGGGCGCTTTCTTGACGCTCTGCTTCATCAGGGGGCTCTTGAGGAAGGCCAGGGTCTTGGCCCTCTTCTCCTTAGGGCCTTCAGGCCGGTGCTTGTGAACTCGGCTGCGACTGGCCAGGGAGATGTGGATGTAGAGCACCGTCATGATGACCACAGGCAGGTAGAAGGCGGCGATGGCCGTGCCGAAGGTCACCGCCGGGTTGGACAAAAATTGGATGAAGCACTGGTTGTCCGGCACCGTCCGCTTGCCCACCACAAACTGCCAGAACAAGATGGCAGGCGCCCAGAGCACGAAGGACAGGACCCAGGCGGCGGCAATCATGAGGCCTGCCATCTTGGTGGTACGCCGCGCCGGGTAGGTGAGGGGCTTGGTGACGCAGAAGTACCGGTCAAAGCTGATGATGAGCAGGTTCATGACAGAGGCATTGCTCACCACGTAGTCCAGGGCCAGCCACAGGTCACACACCACGGCACCCAGAGGCCAGTAGCCCTTGATGATGTACACGGTGTAGAGGTTCATGGAGAAGGCGCCTATGATGAGATCAGCGCACGCCAGGCTGAAGAGAAAGTAGTTGTTGACCGTCTGCAGCTGCCTGTTGACTTTGATGGACAGCATCACCAGGATGTTGCCTGCGACGGTCACGAGGCTCAGTGAGCCTGTCACCGTGGCAATGAACACCATCTCCACTGTCTCATAGCGGTTATGGGTTGACGTGACCAGGCGCACAGACTGGTTGCCCAAGCTGCCATTGACCGGTGTGAAGTTCGCCATCTTGGTTATAGCAGCAGTGGGCGTGCAGTGTCTGGAGGAGGAAGGAGAGAGGAAAGGGGTGAATGGTTGAAGTGGACTAGAGGGGTGAGGTGGGGTACACTGGAGTCAAGGCGACAGAGGAGCATCACCATCCTGCAGAGCTCCATCCTTAGAGAACTCTGTCCCATCACTTCCTCCTGTATTCGGTCACTCGTCCTTTATCGAGTGCCTACTCTTGTACAAGCACTGTTGTACGCGCTGGGGTTATGCTGGGGTTACAGAGTGAAGGAGACACACGCAGGCCCCACTCTCACGGAGCTTACAACCCTGTCAGGGGAGACATACAGACATGTGAGCAACAAAAAAGTGCTAGAAAGAAAACAAGGGCAGGTGATGGTGAGTGAGTCAGAGGGGTGATCAGCGAAGGCCTCTCCGAGGAGGTGATCTGGATGAGGAGGAGGAGGCAGCCACAAGAAGAGCTGCAGAGAGTGGCCTAGTCAAGGGCAATGGCGAGAGCAAAGGCCCTGAGGCATGTGTGAGGCATGGACAGAAGGCCAGTGTGGGTGGAGGGGTTGGGGGAAGAGAGGTCCCAGATATCAGTATGTGGCTCTGGTCAGAGGTATTCATTCATTTACCCATTTGGTCATTTCTTAACCAAACATTACCGGGGACCTGGCCTCCAATCCCTACAGAAGACACTAGGGACAAAGGCAAGAATATATACTACCAGCTAACATTTATTGTCTACTCAGTGCCGGGCACTTCCTACACTTTTTATAAGTTTATAAGTATTCATTCATTTCATCCTCACAACAAACCTATGAAATAGATACTGTGTTGTTTTTTTGTTTTTTTGTTTTTTTGGTGGTAGGGGTGGCATGTGGCTCGGCACGCAGGATCTTAGTTCCCCAACCAGGGAATGAACCCAAGGCCCCTGCAGTGGAAGCACAGAGTCTTAACCACTGGACTGCCAGGAAAGTCCCGGATACTGTTATTTTTTACTAACAGATGAGGAAAGTAAGGCACGGAGATGTTAAACTGCCCGAGGTTCCACAGCTCCTTGATCTCATGTTGCTGTCCCAGAGCTAAGGGTTCTGGTAGAGGGAGGCCCAAAGAGCCACAAGAGCCAGTGATCCCACCTTGGGGAAGTCTTTCCAGAGGACCAGAAGAGGTGACATGGAACTAGGAATCCAGGAAGGAGGAGGAAGAAAGTGCCACTGTGGCATCCCCTCCCGGAGCCCTCCCCCGTCCCCAGGGCATGGGGATGCAGTGCAAGGGTAGCTGGGGTCTGTCAGCAGCCAGGGGCTAAGACCTGTGAAGAATCAGAAGCCTAAAGGGCCCATCAGCTGAGGAAAGACACACACGGCGTCCCAGGGGCCAGTGCCCTCCCCAAGGCCTGACAGGGAACCCAAAGGGTGAGCGAGTGTACCAGAGGGAAGAGAGGGGCTGCAGCAGGGGAGCCTGTGGCCAGCCCCTGAGGGTACCCCTCGGCCCACCGGTACACACCACGGCGCCCCAGCTGGGGTCCTCCAGGCACGAGGCTCCTCCCCAGAGCCTCGTCACGTCTCCTCCCCCTCTTCCTCTCCCCTGCGTGTGAGGGAGGCCCACGCCCAGGGCACTGTGCCAGGGCAGCCGCTCAGCCCAGCCTCCTTCACACCCGCCAACACGCGCACCATTACACACGCACACGGGCCCATCACAGCTATGCCAGCCAGCCCCGCAGCTCCCTGTCGTATATGCGTCTGTGTGAGAGAAGCAGAGGAGAGACAGTGGGGTGTGAAGGAGCATGCGCCCCACAGCCCAGGCTCCACGGCCAGCGGACTCTTAGCCGTGTGCCCTTGCACAGGCCACCTCACCTTCCTGCTCCTCTCTTTCTTATCTGCAAAACAGAGAGGATGCCTGTCCCGGGGCGGCCTCCCTCCCCGGCAGCAGTGGGGGTCAGCAACTCAACTCCATCTCCAGCATTAACGTGCACTGGACGCTGGAGCCAGGTGCCAGGGTGACGCCCCCTCTCCAAGCCTGGCTTCAGTGCCCTAAAGCCACCATCACAGATGCAGATGCAGACACTAGACGCAGATGCAGACCCAGCCTCCTGGCCTGGTAGTTTCAGTTCTCATGCCCAAATCCTTGGTTCACAGGAGAGGCTCACAGAGGGGTGGTGCCACCCCCAAGGTCGCAGAGGAATGAAGGGCAAAGACCAGATACTGCCCTCTCCTGGGGGGCGGGGGGTGTGTCTCTGACAGCCCTTTTCAGTGCTGAGAGACTCCAGAATGGAACCTCAGGCACCACCCTCTGAGGAGGGGCAGGAGGGCAGAGGCACCCAGCGTGGAGAGGCTGTCCTTCCTAGGCACCTGCCTGTAGGCACAGGGTGGGCAGGAGTGACCTGTCAGCCAGCCCCAAGGAAACCCTCGTTCTAGCCTCCCAGGGTCGGGACACAAGCCAGTGAGATCAGAATGGGGCTCGAGGTACCAAATAGGAAAAACATAATCGCTCTTGTTTATTGAGTGTTAATTATGAGTCAGGAATCCCTCTGTGCTTTTTATACAGATTATTGGGTTTAATTCCTACAGCAGCCTGAAAAGGCAGGTGCTATAAGTATGCTCATCTTACTGAAGTAAGTATCTTCTTACAGATGAGGATAATGTTAATTAACTTGCCTAAAGTCACCCAGTGTGTAAGCAGGGGCGGGGGCAGGATTAGAACCCAGGAGCCACCTTCTTAACTGCAAGGAGCTAGTGCCTCTAGAGTTGATTTCCCGCCTCTGCTCTCCCCTCCTCAAAACCACACCACTAGGGGTGGGTCAGGGGAGGCCTGGGTAGGGCCCTTTCTCATTCCCTGCCAGCTCCCACACCTAGCTTTCCCAGAAGAAAAGAGACCTCTTGTCTCCATCTGTAAAGCTAGTCAGTCTCCAATCAGGTGGCCAAGGGTTTAGTCCCTCTCTGGGGCCTCTTGGGGAAGCTGCCAGCTGCGGACACGGCAAAGCACTCTCCCTGTTCCCCACCCAAACTATCTTTCTGGACCCCTGGGGATCACCCGCAGACGTTCTGACTGCACCCTCCTCTGGAGCGTTTCTCTGGGACGCAGGCCCGCCCGAAACCTGGGGAGGCGAGCAACCGCCGCCCAGGCATGTGCGCACCGCTAGATGGCAATGTCGGTCCCTGGGTGCCAGCTCTGGACCTGGAGAGGATGGCCGCTATTCGCCACCGCCCCCAGCTCCAAGGGGACTGGGAAAGCAGTGGAGGTCCCAGGCCGGGCCTCCCAGGGGAGGGACTTGGGGCCCCCTCTACAGGCCTCACCCCGTAGCTGCCTTTAGGCCTCATCCCGTAGCTGCCTTTGGCTCCGCACGGGTTCAATGGTGGGAAAGTTAAGGGCGCCTGGTTCCACCCCTCACGCGCTGAGGAAAGTGTGGGCGGGAAGGCGACTGCGAGTTCTGTTTGTGTGTGATTTCTGGGAAGTTCGAGTAGAAGCTAGTAGCTGTCTGCATGTGCGTGTGTGTGCGTGCGCTGGGCCACGCCTGGATACCAGTGCGCCCGTGTGCATGTGAGCATGCTCGCGCGGTGTGGACACGTGCATGTGCATGCGTGTGTGCGCCTGGAGTGCTGCGGCCTGGGGGATGCACACGGTTCGGGTGTGCCTGTACCTGTGAGCTTGTGTACACGAGCAAATGCAGGTCCCACAGTGGGTGACCCGCCACATTCTAAACGCCCCTGTAGGGAGGCTCAGCCCAGACTTCGGCTGTCTGAGTAGAAAGAAGGTCGGGCCAAGAACCGGTGTCTAGATGGCGCCCCGCCTGTGCGTGGGGAAGAGTCGCCGGCAGGACAAGACCGGACTACAATCTGGGCTGCGACAGACCCCCTGACCTTGGGGGCGTCTTCTTAGCAGAGAGTCCTGTGGTGTCTGCGTCCCCAGTGCTGCGGTGCAGAGTCCCAGGCTGGTATTGACTTCTGTCGAGGGGCTGCTGCTAGAGTCTCTCAACCGGGCTTTCGGGACGCTAGGTTCAGCTCAATGTACCCACTGTGCAGTTATCGCCAAAGGGCGCCCAGTCTGCCTGGCAGGAGGGTGCTTGGTCGGGCCTCGTTGGGAATTATTACTGGGCCCACCTGGAGGCTGCTCCATGTCTCCGTGGTTGTCGAAGGAGACCCGACTCTCCCGTGCCCCACCCTCCCCCAACTCCCTAGAGCACAGTTCCTGCAGCCTCTGGGCGTGGGCACGGTGCTTTCCCGGGTCCTGGAGCCCCCCCTTCCCGGACGCGATGGGAGCGTGTTCCCCTGGACGCCGGGGGTGGGGGTGGGTCCTCGATTCCTAGTCGTTCACTCTAGGGCTCCGGGAAGGCTGTGGTCTCTGGATCTGTCCCTGGGGTGGGAGAGGAGACTCAGGAGTTGCGGGGAGAGAGAAAGCGCGCAGGGGATTTGGCACCAGAGCCTGACGCTTCCGCCCTGGGGCTCGGGCCTTGGCGCTGGACCTCCCAGTCTCTGAGCCTGGGCAACAGGGGTGGGGAGTCTTGGAGGGGGGAGGGGCACCAGGAGAGGGCAGTGGTGTTTTCCGTCGGAGTTCAAGGTCGCTGATGGAGGACTCCACGGACTGGAGTGGGCTGGCAGCGCTGGGGGTGGGGGGCGGGGAGACGGGCGGGAAAAAGGCTCTTTGGGGCTCCAGCGCCCGGCGCCCTGCAGAGCTGCCAGAGGAGGGCAGAAGTGCGGGGTCCCGCCCCCGACGGCTGCCCCTGGCTCCTGGCGGGCTGTGGGCGGGCACACACCCCACCACCACCACCCGACCCACTGAGAGTCCATTCCTTCCCAGAGGCGCACCCGGAGATGCCTCCGGGCGACTCCGGGCCTTGCTTCCAGCGGGCCCCTTGCCCCCGGGCCCTCTGGAGCTCCCAGCGCCGCGCTCGCCCCCGAAGGAGCCTGAAGCCCTGGCCCAGTCGGGCCCGCCTCGGGGCGCCTCAGAGGGTCCAGAAGCCACGCGTCCTTCCCTCGCAACCGAGTCCCCCGCCCCCGCGCTAACGCGGAGTCACTTACCAGACACCTCCGCCCAGTTCCCCTCGCACCTGACAGACGGCTGGACGGGCAGGTGGCCCCGCGGGCCAGCGGGTGGGGCGGGCGGCCGGGCCGCGGGCCGGGGGCGGGGACGGGGTGCAGATGGGCGGCCCCTGCTCCGCCCGCAGCTCCCAGCGCTGTGGCTCCGACTCGCGCTCACGCTCGCACTTTTCCCCGAGCCGCGTGATGTCACGGGGAAGCAGCCAATCCTGGTGGGCCCGCGCCGCCCGCCCCGGGCCGGCCACCCAACGGGGACGCGCGGGGGCCACCACCCCGGGCGTCGGGGACCCCATTTACGCGCGCCCCTCCCTGGAGCCGGCCGGCAGCTCTCCACTCGGGCACTATGGGGGCACCGCCCACGGTCACCAGTGCAGCTTAGCGGGGGGCGCTGCCCTCCCGGGAGGCTGGGAGTAGGGTGGTGTCCGCGTTGTCATGGGGACGCGGCGCCCCCTCGTGGGCTGGGAAGGGAGCTGGCAGCCCCGTCTGGCTGCGTTCCCATCTCCGCTCTGACCAAGCCCCCGGGACCGGTAGGTGGTCTCGCGCCCCGCCCGGACCTCACTCTTTACACTGCCCGGCTCGCAGCTGGACCACGGAGGCGCGAGTGTTTGACCCCAACAGGAGGTTATGGGTGGCTGGGGTAGGCTCTGCCGCCCCGGTTCCGTCGGGGCAGAGAGCCGAGGGCCGGCAGTTTCGAGCCTCGAGGCTGCGTACTGGCTACCGGGGAGCCAAAGAAGAGGGGCGCCGTCGGGGCCTGGGAAGGAGCTGGAGAGAGAAGCCAGGCAACGGTCCCCAGGGAGAGAGGAGCCGGCTCATCACACAATCCCGCCCGCCCCCCATTCCTGCCGCCCTGTTCCCTGCTCCCGCGCTCCAAGCCGGGGAGTGGGTGCGCACCCTTTCTCCAGCCCCGGGAAAGAACGCGCCGCTCATCCAGCCGCGGCCTGGAGGGCAGGTTCACCGATGCCTGTGCGGGAAAGCCGGGTGCCCAAGGTCACCTGGAGCGGAGCCCGGAACGAGACCCCAGAGGGCGAGCTGCTGGTCTCTTGAAGTGTCCGGGAACCGCGCGGGCCGGAGCCTTGGGACTCGGGGCCTTGCCGGCACCAAGCAGGAGGGTCCGCTGGGGTGCTCGCCGGACTGAGAGCAGGGAGGCTTCAGCACCTCGGAGAGCTCCACCTCTGCCCTGACCTTGGCGGTTCTGCTCCGCCTGCCCAGGCTCCAGCGTTTCTGCCTCCCTCTGAGACGGCCCTTCCTCGGGCCGGTCAAGGTCCGACTCGCTCCCACAACGCCCGGGCCTGTCACCCCAAACTCTCTGAGCGCAAACACCCAATTAACCTTAAGACGGATGGGTTCTTCTCTTGGAAAATCAACTCAAGTCCCGCCCCTCCTTCACCCTCCCCCAAGGGTTGGGCGGGGGGCTGTGTGTGCGGGGAAGGTGGAGGCCGCACCAGTGCAGGAGGCAGCAGGAGCTGCCAGAGAAGGGGCGGGAACTCAGGCAAGAGGCAGCCCTTTGGGGCTCTTGGTGTGGAGCCCTCTGTGCTGAACGAGGCAGAGGTCGGGTCCTAACGCTCCCCAAGGCGACGGCTGGAGTTGGCAGTCGGCTACAGTGAGAAGCCATGGTCCTTTACATGAACGATCTGGGCTCCCATGATTCTCATAACCAAAGGATGAAAAAGCCCTATTGTTTTTGCTCGCACTTCACAGATGAGGAAACAGGCTTGGTTGGTTTATATGACAATTAGATGACAGTCTGTACTCACTGGTTTCCCTTTTTCACATCCTTCCTAGGGTCCAGGAGAGGGTGGTCCTCCTAGGAGGGTGAAAGCGTGTGTGTGCACACGCACACAGGCTGGGAGAAGGCCAGACACTTACTTATACCTGTAAGATGGGGAAACAAGCAAGGCCACTGGAGGCCACAGAAACTTATCACTAGAAATGTCTCCAACCACTGCCTTGAATTCTTCCAGAAGCTGTCAGGCAAACCTGCTCCAGTTTCTCCAAAATCCCTACTGTGGTGTAGGGCATTTGGCCTCCCCCAATCCCAGAACGTGGAGAGCTGAGACAGGAACCAGGGGACCTGGTTTAGTCTGTACTCTCTTTGATCCAACTGGGTCCATAGACATCTTGGGTCCACAGAACTGCTCTGAACCTATTTCCTCATCTCCAAGGGGATTGCTGAGCTCTGCCCCGCTGGCCCCATAGCCTCATCATGATATGCAAGGGGGCCCATGAAGGCCCTACTGGGGAGGCTCTACCCAAACAGCAAGGGCTTTCTAAGGAGAGGTTGGTATGGGGACGGAATGTGTTGACAAGGGCCTCCAACAGGCAGGGGCTGGGTTCATCCTTGGCCAGTAAGGACAGAGGCGAGGCCAGGCAGGACTGAATTTAGGTCACATCATCCACAAAGCCTCCTCATACCCCCTTTTTCAAAGTAACAGAATACGTCAGGGTCCCATCTGGGTTCAAACCCTGGCTCCACCATTTAGTTGTGTGATCTGGGTGTACCAGTACCCACCTCAGAGGGGTTTTGTGCTAAGGACTGAGAGATAATAAACACTGAATCCTTGGCACACGGTTTACATTCAACATAGTCCCCACTCTTGGACCATGTAATTCTTTCTCCCACTGGGGGCAGTATGTGGGTGGAGGGCACGCATTGCAGTGGGCGCCCTTCTCTTTTCATCCTTTAATGCGTAGCTCAAATCTCACCTCTTCAAGGAGGCCTTGTCTTACAGAGCTGGAATTAACTTTAAGAGGTTGCAGAGTACAAGCCCTGCCTCCTAGAGTGAGAAAATGAAGCAAGAGAAAAGGCAAGTGGCCTGCCCAAGGTCTCACAGCTGATGTGTCTTAGTCCAGAGTGTGCTGTAATATAATAGTTTTCCAAAAAATTCTAGTGTTCCTCACCATGTAACTCTTCACAGTGTTTTGTATTATTTGCTTGCCCATTTACCTTTTGGGTTTGCCTCTGCTGGGGCAGAACCTACACCTCTGTATATGCCCCATAGTGTCTGGGACAGAGTTGAGCACAAAAGTTACTCAAGAAGTACCTGTTGCTGGCAAAAAGCCCTGGGGTGGCTCTGATCTCCCTGTGTGCCTCCGTGAGAGCAGAGGGCCAAGCATCCTTCCGCTTTCTAACTGACTTAAAACTAAGCGTCCAAGGCCCATGACCACAGCACACCCCTCAGCCGCTGTACTGACACAAAGTAAAGGCAAACCTGAGCAGCCAGCAAATGGCATCTTTGGGGGATGCCTGTTGATAAGGCCAAGCTCCCTGCTGGCCCACCCAGACACCCATTATGGGTGCTTCCCAGGACTGCAGGGGAGCCAGCTTTCTGGCCAGTTACATCTTCACTCCGGGCCCATCATCCTGGGTAGGAAGCAATCACGACGAGCAACCTTAGATCATTCTTACCTACCCACCTGTTACTGTGAAGGTTGCTCCAGTCCTTAGCAGGCCCCTGGGAAGCAGGAGGTGAAGGCACACAGACGCAGCATGAAGCAGAGGTGGCAGCCCTTACCTGAGTGGCTTCTGCTGAGGCATCACGGGGCTCCCCACCTAGGAGGACAGCAGCACCAGAAACAGTGCCTGGGAGAACCAGGGCGGCTCAGTTCAATGTCCTCCCCCAGCCCCCCAACACTACCCCACCCCCGCAACCCCCATGGAAACAAACAGAGAGGAGACTGGTGAGGGGCATGTCATCATTTTAATGATGTAGATCTTTGGTGTTTCCCTCATTAGCAGTCAGACTATCCCCTCTCCTCCCACCACAATGTTTCTACGATGAGTTACAAACAGAAAAGAAATCACATTTTCATACTAAAAACAAAATAATCAGAGCCTCGATTTCTCCACTAGAAACTACATGTACAGTTCAAGATTCCACATGCAACACCTTAAATCACAGACCAAGACCTCACATTCTGACCTGGAGTCTCATCCCCTCCCCCAGCCTTGGGCTGGCTTTGGCCTAGGCTCAGCTAATACTGACACCCACAGGTGCTGCTCTGAGGGCCTTGGGGGGTGGTGGGGAAGGAGGAGCTTGGTGGACAAGCGCTGGGGGCTGGCCAGCCTACACCCCCCACTCCTGAGCGAGGACCTGCCCACCATTCCTTGACCCCATCCTGTCTCAGGCAAGCAGGCTGCCCCATTCACTCCATGGTTGTTCCCCACCAGTAAGTGCAGGAAGTCCCTGTCCTCAGGAATCTGGAGGCCTGGCCTGACCCCTGACTGTGGTCTCTGTGGGGTAAGATGATCAAGAGAGGCTGAAGCTCTGGAAGGCTCAGAAATGGAGCTGATTTCTGGGAGCCAGGCCGCTCCTCCTGCACTAGGGCTCCTAGTGGCTCTGCCTGCACAACAGGTGAACAGGGAGAAGCTGGCCCACTGGCCACCATCCAGGATGGTTTGGCCCAGATCTGGAAGACTATTCACCCTTCTGAGGGCTCTCTGCCCAGGGCTGAGTCCCTTGAGCCTTGTTTCCAGGAGAAAGGGGGGTTCATGGCAGGGATACCCATTTCCACCTCCATTCACACTGAGCGCAGCAGTCTGTGGCTCCCCTGGGCTCCAGACCCTAGAAGGTTCTAGTCCCCGGAGGCAAGCCTTGCCCCTTTGACTGCCTCACGCTGGCTGACTCAGACTCTCCCTCTCAACCCCCCACCCTCTTGCTCCTGTTTCCTGTTTCCGCAGCCTGCGGCTCTTCTGCGCATACAGTTCCCAGTCAGCTGTGAGGTCCGGTTTCTGCTCAGCGGTTCGAGGGGAGGCACCAGTGCACACACACGTCTCTACCTGTTCCGTGGCTCCCCACTGGGGCCTGCAGCCTCCCCCAGGCTGCTGCCCCCACCATCAGGAAGGTGGTTGTTATTGGTGAGGTCGCAGTGCAAGGCTGGTCCCTCAGTGCTGGGAAGGGGCACGGGGGAGGAGGCGGGCAAGGCTGCCTGGGGTGGGTCCCGCGCAGGGGTACCAGGCCGGTCCCAGGAGGCTGTCCGGGGGCTCAGGCCTCGCTCTGCCAGCTGCCCAGCTTCCGGGAGCGGTCCCCGAGAGGTGGAGGGCTGGGGCGAGGGGGCGCGCGCGACCCCAGGTTCCGTGCCCGTCTGGGAGCTGCGGTGAATTCGGTGGCTGACGATGATGTTGTTGCCAAAACCACCCATGGAGGCCATGGTGGTGCTCTGCTCCCGCTGCACCACGGCCGTCATGCCCCCTTCCGCCATCAGCCGCTGGATCCTGCTGAGAGCGTCTTCCCCACTGGCACCGTACTCCGAGCCCTCACCTGGAAGGCACAAAGCAGAAGGGAGGGAATTAACTGCTGGCCTGGGCCTCTGAGTCAGGCAGGCCACCGCTAGTAGTAACTGGGGGATTCTAGCTAAAAGCAGAAACAAGAAGAGGGCCAATCTCTCACTTCAAGAATCAGTCAGACGACAGACGAATGGATGAAGAAGGTGTGGCACATGTATACAGTGGAGTATTACTCAGCCATAAAAAGGAACGAAACGGAGCTATTTGTAATGAGGTGGATGGACCTAGAGTCTGTCATACAGAGTGAAGCCAGAAAGAGAGAAACAAATACTGTATGCTAAAGCACGTATATGGAATCTAAAAAAATGGTACTGATGAACCTAGTGGCAAGGCAGGAATAAAGATGCAGATGTAGAGACCAGACTTGAGGACACAGGCAGGGGAAGGGTAAGCTGGGACGAAGTGAGAGAGTGGCATGGACTTTTATATACACTACCAAATGTAAAATAGCTAGTGGGAAGCTGCTACATAGCACAGGGAGATCAGCTCGATGCTCTGTGATGACCTAGAGGGGTGGGATAGGGAGGGTGGGAGGGAGGCTCAAGAGGGAGGGGATATGGGGATATATGTATACATATAGCTGATTCACTTTGTTGAACAGCAGAAACTAACACAGCATTGTAAAGCAATTATACTGCAATAAAGATATTTAAAAAAAAAAAAAAAGAAGTCAGGGACTTGAAAACTAGATAAGACTCCCCAAACAATCGTAATTCGTACTTGTTTTACAGGTGGTGAAACTGAGGCCTAGGTGGCCGAGGCTGCTCAGCTGGTTAAGAGGCAGGGCTGGACCAGAAGCTGGGGGTCTGGTTTTAACCCTCTGGATACCACAGGCAGACTGGTCATGCAGCTAATGCAGGCAGCCCAGACAGCTGGCTGTGTCTGCTCCTCCCTGTCTCGGGTAACCTGGTAGACCTGGCCCTGGAACAGGGTGCACTGCCTGGTCTTTGGAAAGCGAGGGCACTGTACGGGGTGTGGCTAGAAGGCAAATGGTCTGCTCTGCTCCGTTTCAAAGCCGTGCTCTCTCTCTTCATTGTTGTTCTGTTTATGTCACTTCCTAAAAGCACACGAGGAAGACGATTTTTAACTGTTCTCTAGAGGCATTCTGTCTTCTCCTCTTGTCCCACTTTACTCACCAACTTTCCCAAGTTATTTCCCACATACTGTTCTCCCGGGGCTGGATGCCTGATACCCTCATTTTTCGCTAGAGGCAGCCAACTGCCCCAGCCTGAGGCTTCAGTCTGCACCTCTAGGGAGGAAGAGAGAAGGTTCTGCTCTTTCCCCAAAAGCCTGAGTATTCCCTTGTCTGTGAGCAGACAAGGCTTTGGCTCAGACCTTAGTTCTGCCACTCACTAGCTGTGTGACCTAGGATAAGTCCCTTGCCACCCACATTCCTGTTTTCTTTTCTTTATCTTTTTTTGGCTGCGTTGGGTCTTAGCTGAAGCATGCAGCATCTTCGTTGAGGCACGCGGGATCTTTCATTGCGGTGTGCAGGTTTCTCTAGCTGTGGTACACGGGCTTCTCTGTAGTTGTGGCATGCGGGTTTTCTCTCTCTAGTTGTGGCGTGCAGGCTCCAGGTCATGTGGGCTCTGTAGTTGTGGTGCGTGGGCTTTCTTGTTGAGGCACGCGGGCTCTCTTGTTGAGGCACGCGAGCTCAGTAGTTGTGGCATGAGGGCTTAGCTGCCCCACGGCATGTGGGATCTCAGTTCTCCGACCAGGGATTGAACCCATGTCTCACTGCAATGGAAGGTGGATTCTTCACCACTGGACCACCAGGGAAGTACCCCTCAATTTTCTGACTTGCAAAAGAGGGATGAAACATCCAACCTGCAAGGTGCCGGGTAGAGGGAATGAGATAATGCCCGTTACACACCTGACACACAGCAGGTGCTCAGTCAATGGTGGCTGTTGTGAATAACCTGGACTCTGCAGGAAGAGCCCCACCCTGAGGGACCTTCCTCTAGCCTGTGTTCAGCCCCCACTGGGCAGACATGCAGTCCAAGCCTGTGGGCAACTATGATCAAGGCTCCCAGGCTGCCAGGGCTGCTCTACCAAACTATGTACAGATTTGTTTCCTTTGGCTACCTGTTGGCCACTTTGGGATTCTGCAGTCTGGGCAGCTTTGATGGTGAGGTTTGAATTTGGGGGGCGGGGTACTTGTTGTCAACAGCTATCTTTGCAAGACCTTCTTTGCTCCCACACTGTCCAGTGCCTTCTCTCTGCTCACCTTGTCAGAGCTGGATTTCCAGGCAGCCAGTTTTGCAGCTTAGCTGCACCGAAGTCCCGTTAGACCTCTTCCCTCCTTGCGAGTGCTTGGCAGGCATGTGCTGGTAGTTCTCCCTCTGGGTCTCAGTGAGACAGTTCCCCCCAGCACTGAGTAGGGACTCTGCCTGGGCTCTCACTTATGTCCAGCTTGCTTTTCTCCAGATTTTCTAGTAAATTCTACCCTCCCACCTCCAACCCCTCAAGGCAAGCTGCCCTTACGTGCTTCCCCCTCAGACAGCTCAGTGCCAACTCCCAGGGCAGAAGGAAAGAGAACCTGAAGGGCTCTCAGAGTACTTCTCTCAAGGGAAAAGCTGTTCAGCAGTGGGTAGGGGTAAGAGGAAAGGTCAACCTAGGGCTCTGGTGCCAGCACAGCTCCTACCCTGTGAGCCAAAAGGGCTACCTGGAGAGGGCCCATGGGGACCTCCCTGTGCTGCCACTGCCACAGTTTTCCAAGAACGCTATGCACTGAGGGCCTCCCCAGCCCGGCCTGGGGTATGCAGTAGGCTGGCCCACGGCCTGCTGGCATTGGAGCTCAGTGGGCTGGGCTCTGTGCCCGGTGAACTATCAGCTCATTTCCTGTAGATCACTTTGAGGGGCAGGGCAGGTCTGCCTTGGGGCCCTAGGGGAGCTGTCACAGCTAGGTCCTGCCCTGCTGCTGGCACTCAGGTCTGGGACCTCCTGCCCTTTCCCACTGAGCCAGTGGCTCCAGGCCCGGCCACCTCTCACCGCAACTGTGGCTGTCTTTCCTAAATGGTCTTGCTTCTCTCTCCCCTTTCCACCCAGCCTCCATGCTGCTGCTATTACCATTCTAATTCAGCTCTGATCCACTGAGTTCTGGTTAAGTCCATAATTGGTTCAAAACCCAGCAGCTCCAAGAGTCCTCAAGTAGTTAAGGTTCTCACCGTGACATTTAAGGGACCTCTCTGGTCAGGTCCTAGCTGTTTCCCTGACCATACCCCTTCCTGAACCCAGAGACTCAGCGCTGCTGTGTGCCCAGTGCCCCTGCCTGCACACGCTGTGGGTGCTCTACCTGCCACGCACCTGCCCATTTCCCCACATCCGAAGTCCACTTGTTTACAAGGGCCAACACAAGCACCACCTCCCTCACCCTGCCTTCCAAGGTCCCCAGCTGGGAGTGGCTGCTCCTGCTCTGGGCCCCACAGTGACCCACACCTCTCTGCGTCAGAGTTCTCTCCCTCTGGGCTCTAAGTTCCTGACGGTCTCGGACTAAGTTTTATTCATCTTTGGGCTTGCACTTGGCATCTACCTGTTGAATGTGTGGGTGAATAAAGGGCTCCCAGGCTGCCTACAGGCGTTCCAGACTTAAGGTGGCTTCTGAAAACTGGTCACATGTTACCCTTTTGCTATGGGGACACAGTTATATGTCTGTTTCCTTTCTGGACTTATTTTTGAGGGTAGAGACATGGCTTCATCTCTGAATCAGACTCCCTTTGCAATACCTGTGGATTCATGGCGCCTAATACAATACTAGACATAAAGTAAGTACTCACAAAAGATGGGATAGAAGAATTTAAAATGTATACACCCCAATAAAGATGTTAAAAAAAAAAAATGTATACACCAACGATTTCCTCAGGGCTGGGTGTAGGTAGATTCAGCCTAGAGACCTGTGAGCTGTGCTTGTCTCTTGGGAGCTCTAAGTCAAGGCTGCGAACCAAGGTAGGCAGCCAGCACGTTCTTCAAGAGGAAAACACACTGGGGCCTGAGAGAAGTGGCAGCCATGGTTAGGGATCCAAGCTATTAGCTCCAGGAGCAGTGGCGGCCACAGGGGTTAATTCTGCTGTCTCCTTCCCTGTAGCAAAAGCATTTCTTTTTGTCTCTGAAAAATGGTAAACTGATTTAGTGTTGACATGAGATCATTTCCTTGGCAAGTTCTAAGGTACGTTCTGGATACAGAGGCCAGAATGGGATCAGTAACTTCCCATAATGCCCAATTCTGGGGGTTTCACTGCCCAGAAGAGGGAAGCCAGATTGCATCAGAGGAGGAGCTGCCCTTCCTGATCTCAGGGGGCACCCTTTCCTTCCCTTTTCACATTTGCTCTTCCCTGGCCCAGCTGGTCTGTCATCTTCACCAGACAACAAAAAGGTCCAGGCAACCCTTCTCAGTGGTCAGAGGCGGAGCCATGGGCTCCCCAAATAGTGCAGCATAGCCAAGCTCAGATGCAGGGCCTTGCCTCTGCTCAATTCATTCATTCCACAAACTTCTTGAGCACCCACTGTGTGCCAGGCAGGCACTGTATCAGAGCTAGGAGCAAACAGTGAGCCCAGGGAATGCCTCCCCTCCCTTTCTGAGTGACAGGGTAGGGAAGCTTTAAAGCTGGACAAGTAAAAAAGCCAACACCTGCAAATTCCCCCTGTGGAGGGCTCTTCCGGGAAGTCCTAGACAGAACTGAATAGATTTTAATAAAATTCTCATAGAACATGAAAATGAGTAGCCTGGGACCCTTCAGTGCTAACCAATGGGAAAGGGCTAGAGGAGGGGCAGGCCACAGAATGGTAATCACCACAAGCGGAGCTGGTTGCCCAGACTAATAGACTGGGCCCTGGTGTGTGGAGGGATGCAGAGGGGGGCATCCCCCAACCAGCCCCACCTTCTAGCTAAGCCCAGAAGAGTTAACCAACTTGATGAGCGTGTGTGTGTGTGTGTCTGTCTGTGTCTGTGTGTGTGAGTGCGCACGTGCCTGTGTGTGTGTGTGTAGCTGCTGTGTCTGCCTGCTAGATGGGGAAAGCGGACCAGGAAGGAAGTCTGAGCCCAAGAAGACTCTTGATTCCTGGTCCCCCTACCAGAGCAGCAGTAGCGGACGGTGGTCAGTGGGGTAAGCACCTCAGAACAACGCTCCTGGCCCCAGGAGGGACAAGGCTGGCCAGTCACACCCATTGGTCAACGCCCCACACATCTCCCCATACTTCTTTCTAGGTGTGGGTTTTTCTGAAAGGGACTATGATGCTGTCCCTTTCAGAGCTGGAGGTCCAGAGCTCCAGGCAAAGTTCACCAGGCCAGACAGATGCAGCGAGCCATCCTGAACTACCCTGCCAAGGCTCTTGTTCTAGAGAACAGCCTATTCAACTGCTGCCTCTGCTGAAGAGTGCCTCTGGCCTCTGAAGGGCTCACCCTCCACCACTTTGCAGGGACAGACTGGGAGAGAATCAGGTTCTGGTCTCAAACTGGAAAACAGAACCTCCTTCCTCCTGCCAGCCCATCATCCACATCCCGAAACAAGAAGAAAGGAACTTATAATTGACTGGAGGTCAGAAATAAGCTGATGCTAATCAAGAACTCTCAGAGGCTTCTTTGGGAGGTGAAAACACCAGTGGATGCTCTTCTTCTCAAGTGGGGAGCCCCTGCTGCACTTCACTTTCAGGCTGAAGGCCTCACTTCTGACCCAGATCCCTGTAATCTGCCCTTCCTGCTCATCCAGCCTCAGTCTCAACACGTGATGACAGGCCAGGAACAAGAGCCCACTAGTGAGTGGTCCTCGGTGCAGACGGTAATGTTTTTGAACTTGGTGCCCTTGCAGCTGCTGTCCCCTCTGCCAGGAATGACTGC